CTAGTGGATTGGTTTTGTGCTGCAATGCAGTAACAACTCAATTTCAATTTTGTGCATTAATGGTTTTATAGCCTGCTTTCTGATTTTGAATTGATTTGATCTTTCAATTAGTACTTGGGCCAAAGGAAGAAGCTAGAGGCTGAAGAGAGGCGTATGAGGCAGAAAAAGGCTCGAGAAGAGTTTTCAAAGATGCTGGAGGTATGTTGAACAGTTCTTACTGCATAATGAATTCATGATTACTTTTTGCTTCTATTATTTAATTCTGTATTTTGTTTGTTCAGGAGTGCAAGGAGCTTACATCATCTACTAGATGGAGGCATGTCTCTGTTTAATTTGAGTTTAATTTAGTTGATCCTTCTTCTCTGCTGTCTAACCTTCTCCATGTAGCTGCAAGTTGCATCTTGTTCTTATTGGTCGTTTTCTGTGATCAGTAAAGCTGTAACCATGTTTGAGAATGATGAACGATTTAAGGCTGTTGAACGCGCTAGAGAACGGGAAGATCTATTTGAAAGCTACATGGTGGAACTTGAGAGGAAGGCAAGAATATCCCTTCTGCTTACATGTGAATTTTTGTGGATAGTTTCATTCTTGTTTGGATCTTGTATTCAAGGATGTTCTAATTTATACTCTTCAAGTCATTCCCATTCTTACTGTTTTTCATCTAAATTTAATTATTTAGGAAAAAGAACAAGCTGCCGAAGAACACAGGTGGAATGTTGCTGAATTCAGGAAATTTCTGGAATCCTGTGACTTTGTGAAGGTACTTTATTTTCTTGGTTTTTTTTTGGGGGGGGGACTCGTGAAGTTAAATCTATCAAATTGAAGTTGTTTGCATTTCTTGTCACAATTGGTTCATTACCTTGTAATTTATGTTTTGCTGTAGGTGTATAGTCAGTGGCGGAAGGTCCAAGATCGGTTAGAGGATGATGAAAGATGCATGCGTCTTGAAAAGATAGATCGCTTGCTTGTTTTCCAGGTATATTTCCTATTTTGTTCATGGTCATATTTAAAGGATCTGTATGTTGATATGTGATGTTGCAGGACTATGTTCGTGAGTTGGAAAAGGAAGAGGAGGAGCTTAAAAAAATACAAAAGGTAAAATCTTAGTGATGTTTATTGATGTTATTTCTGTCAATATTCTTATATTTCTTTAATTACCATAAAATAGGATCAACTCCGGCGGTCTGAAAGGAAAAACCGTGATGCATTTCGGAAGTTATTGGAAGAACATGTTGCTTCTGGAATTCTTACTGCTAAAACACACTGGCGAGAATATTGCATGAAGGTAACGCAACTTTTATTTATGATGGCAAAAAAGCAGTGTAATACATAATGGAAGTCATACCCTTAAGTTCTCTATTTCATAGGTCAAGGATTTGCCTCAATATCAAGCTGTTGCATCAAACACATCTGGTTCAACTCCAAAAGACTTATTTGAAGATGTTGTTGAGGATCTCGCTCAAAAGGTTGCAAAATTTCTATTTTAAGTTTGTTTGAAAATTAATTTGGAGTTGGTTGTGGTTGTAAACCAATAGGTTCATTATGCTCGTTGCTAGTTGCTTGTCTTGTTCTTTGTTGCAGTAACTTTCTGTATCCAGAGGACCCATCATTTGTATTAAAATAATGATTTAGCATTACGCTACATGTTTATTTTGAGGGTTTACACCAGATGGTAGCAAATGAAGTAAATTCTGTTAGTTTATCTTTTGAGTTGAATGTTACCTGGTTTGGAAAAAGATCATATTAGTGTTCTATAATCTTGGTTAAATGTATGTTAGGTAATCTTGAGTTATGATAATGAACTACTAAATTTGAAGTTTATAACTTAATGAACGTGTAGTTCTTTTTCTTGATGACTTGACTAACTTAATCTAGTTTGTGAAATTTTAACACACTATTTTGCAAGGATGACTCAAACCTAAAACACCTCTAGTGGTAGTTTGTTTCTCTTTCTAATATATAGATATTTTGTTGACAGTATCATGAAGACAAGACGCTGGTTAAAGATACAGTGAAGTTAGGCAAGGTAGATATTTCAGGACTCTTCCTCATATTTTACTGGTAGTTTGTGTTTGATGTCATGCCCCTTGTTAAGCAGATTGCTGTAGATACTACAACAGCGTTTGAGGACTTTAAGGCTGCTGTCCTGGAAGAGGTTGATCCTCCATCGATGTCTGACATTAATCTGAAGGTAATTTCATTTTTGTTAACTTTGACTCTATTTTGATTTCATGTTTCGTTGCCTGACTTGGAATCTACTTAGTTGTGGGAGTAGTTTACTCGAATGGAGCTCTACCTTGATGTCCTGCTTAAACTCGTGGGAATGAGCTTTATTAGCTGTAAAAATTGGAGAACAAGCATATTTTTAGCTCAAGTGTTCATATATGAAAGTGGAGTAGTTCACTATTAACTTCGATGATTTAATTTCAGATTTATATTTCTCATATCAAAGATGTTGAATTACCTAAATATACTGAAATACGAACTAGTGCATGCGCGCAGACCAATCTGTGTTTTGGGGAAAAGGGGGGGAATGATGATGTAATGCGTGTAAATTTTGTAGCTTTGATTTCAAAGTCAGTTTCACTTTACATCATCGTGTGTGTTCTGGATGTTGATGCAAGCTATCACCTATGAAACATTTTATGCATCTCCAACGTGTTTTGATTAGAATTTGATTCTTTATTTCCTTATGAAGCTTGTATATGAAGAGTTATTGGAGAGAGCTAAGGAAAAGGAGGAGAAAGAAGCTAAGAAGCGTCAACGCATTGCTGATGAATTTACTAAGCTGTTATATACATTTAAGGTAAGCTAATAGTCTTTCTGTGAGCCCGTTTGATAAAGAGATCACTATTGATTTTCTTATTGTCTTTTGTAGGATATTACTGCTTCTTCCAAATGGGAGGATTGCAAGCCACTTTTTGAGGAGGCGCAAGAGTACAGGTAACTTAACTGTTTCAAGTACTTGATGCATACATGTTGTGTGAATTGTGTCATGAGGAGAGCATTTTCTTTCATGTAAACTGCCTCCCATAGGTCGATTGGTGATGAGAGCTCCAGTAGGGAGATTTTTGAGGAATACATAGCTTACTTGAAGGACAAGGCTAAAGAGAAGGAGCGCAAGCGGGAAGAGGAAAAGGTGTGTGAATTTTCTGTATCTGTCTATGCATTTGGTTTCATATCATCTGCTTGTTTGCTAATTGCTTTGGTTGTTAAAACTAATTTTATGGAAAGCTGAGTTTGAACTATCACATTGATAATTATAAGTATTGGTCCTAAAATTGGTGGTTCGTGTCTAATGCTGCGCAGGAAGTGGGGCCTTCTTTTCTTGCCTATGTCTTTTGCCTTGCTAATTAATGTTTTATCTAAACATATTTTTTAATGAATAGCTTAACTTATCTGCAGGCCAAGAAGGAGAAAGAAAGAGAAGAGAAAGAGAAACGGAAAGAGAAAGAAAAGGAGAAGAAAGACAAGGAAAGGGAACGTGAGAACAAGGAACGACATAAGAAGGACGAAACTGATAGTGAGAATCTAGACATAAGTGACAGTCATGGTTACAAGGAGGACAAGAAAAAAGAAAAGGATAAAGAAAGGAAACATCGGAAGAGGCATCTAAGTAGCGCAGAGGACGCAGACTCTGAAAAGGCTGACAAGGAAGAGTCAAAGAAATCACGAAGACATGGCAGTGACCGCAAAAAGTCTAGGAAGGTATGTCATATATAATGTTTTTTGGCTGCGTTGTGTTCCTGATGAATGGAGAACAAGACTTGAAATGGGGTGGAAATATTTGCCATTGTGCTTTGCAGCATGCAAACTCACCTGAATCTGAAAATGAAACTCGGCATAAAAGACACAGGAGGGATTACCGGGACGGTTATAGGAAAGCTAGTGGGCATGTGGAACTCGAAGATGGCGAGCTCGGCGAAGATGGCGAGACCGAGTAATTGTGTTGCTAGTCCCTTTTACATTGGTGAGATTAATGAAACTAATCTGTATCTCTGAGGGAATGTCTAACTATCATCATTATATGTTTTTTCTAATTTTCTTTTCCGTTATACATTAGTGAATGCTGGATCATCCCATGTATCTTCAGCTATAGAAAAAGATGATTTGTTCTTTTCCCGTGCTATTTTCACTCAGTGCCAAGGGTGCGAGGCCATTGTAACATCTCAATCAATATGCTGTTAAACTTGAGATTTCTTATTCATATTTTTTTATTTAAATAATCATTTTAATAACTTTTGGTGAAATTAATTTTTTTTATTACTATGATTTATTGTTCATTCAGTTAATTGATCACGTATAATTATTTAATATATCTAACCTATTTATGTTTAATTAAAGTTATTAGAATTTTTATTTTATATTAGAATTGTGTTTTCACTTCATTTTATGCTCTCTGCGCGACTAGTCAAAGTCTTCAAAACTTCTTGTCACTCCAATTCCTTAGCCATAGAAAAATTTTAGCGATGCAAGATGAAGTAGATTTTGAATTACTAATTATTATTTAGTTTATCAATTAAACTTATCATTAAAATTTTGAATTAAAAAAATCATCATATACTTTGTACAATATTAAAATTTTAAGGACCACTGCATATGATTTTTGGAAAATGTAATTGCTGATTTTGATTACGTTTAATCAATTAATAAAATATAAAACTTTAGATTTTTTTTTTAACTAAATTTGTTAGCTTCGAAAATGGACAAGTTATTTTTGAACTAAATTTTCATTTTTTTGGTTAAAAAAAAACTAAATTTTCATTTTAGAACTTTTTATATGATTTTAAATTTTAAATGATACTATGGACTACGGTTATTAGAAGAACCCAAACGTCAGATAACATTATCATTCCGCTTGATCTCTTCTCATGTCAGATGAGTTTGAGGAGATGCAGCTTCATGATGCATAAGTAGTGAGTCCCCAAAATTCTGATTCGAGGGCTTCTCAAGCGGAGGTCAACAACACCAGGAAGAATAGAAAATGAAGGACACTTGAATGATTATTAACCTAATGTGAGCATTTATACTGAATAAATTCTGATACAAACTCGTTGTTGATGAATTCCAAAATGGCATCAGCAATTTCTAGGACAATATCATTCACACGTGGCTCCAAATCACTCCATTGGTAGACGGAATTCAAGTCATCCAAAGAGAAGAAGCAGGTCAGGCCCCTCCCATGTCTGCTTCGCTGATCCCATATGTTTGTTCTCTTACAAAAGAACCTCCCCAGTTGCTGAGGCCCCAAGTATTGGTTGAAGCATCGCTGTCCCTTGTCCTTCCTTGGAAGTGTTTCTCTCGCACAATAAAAGAGCAGTTGCTTTGTCTTCTGCAATATCCTTTTAGATTTCAATCCGTGGGAAGCATTAGGACTCAGATTCTCTCCTAATTTCCTTGGACTCCGTTCTTTCTTAACTGACTGCATCAGCAATCCCCAGATAGCAGCTGATGAAATTGACTCTTCCTTCATTTTCTTTGGCAGAGGGGCACTGCAACTATGTACTTTCTTCTCCATTTTCCTAACATCCTGATTCACTGCTACCTCTGCCAAACAAACCGCCACGTTAAGAGAAAAGACATGGAAATCAACCAAAAAACTGATGAGTTGAAAATTGCAAATGAGACAGAGACTTGCCATTTTGAGATGCTGTAGCTCGGCGTGAAGGAACTGTGCCGAGTGAGGCAGGACCTGTGCATCTCCGGCGGTGTCTTCCGTTGTTGATAGCCTGTTGGCTTTGCAAGAGGAATCAAACCAATTCATATGTATATTTTCTTCCTGTGCTACTCAAGTTTCAACTGATGTTTGAATGAACAGTTAAAACTGCGAAGATAGACAACGAAATTGAGTTACCTTTGCGTACCAGTTGGGCATACATGAGAAGCTGGGAAGGTATCTGAAGAAGAAGAAATCTCGTCTTCATCAATCTCTGAGCAAGAGTAGAACATGGTTGAGTTGCTGGAGGATGAAAAGCTATCTGTTTCCAAGACAATCTCACCAATTGTGGGACTGTCATGGACAAGAAGATCCTCATCTTTAACGGCAGGCTTCTCAGCCATAACGCTGCTGCTTTCGTTGTGCTGTAAAGCAAGCTTCTTATACAGAGACGTTAGAACTCTGGAAAACAGAAGCTTGGCATTCATATTGAGGCAAGAATTGGCTGATCTTTGCAGGTTCCATGCTTTGGAGCAGCCTCTTTCGGAAAGGTAATTGTGGAGGATGAAAGGTTCTTGCCGCTCCCTGAGGAATTCTTGCAGCCTTCTCTGATGTATGGATGATGCGGAAGCCATGGAAGGCGAGTAGTGGGTTGAAGGAAGTTAATGGAGTGCGTGGGAAGGTGCAGAGAAAGGAATAAATTTGGGATAGACAAGGTATGTGTCAGTTTTTGGAAATTTATGACTCCGTGTCAGACACACTCTAGTTCATATGGATTTAACGTTCAGCTGGTGGCTATCCCATATATGTGCTCTTGCACATTAAAACAGCGGTCCCATGAAGAGAGATGTGGTGTTCTAAGTCAGTGGGTTCTTCTTCTTTTTTTTTTCCCTCCCCTATTTGTTGATCAGGACACGTTTCCTTGTAATATACTCCCTTCATCTTTATAAATTGGATATTTTTTTAAAAGGTTGATTTGTCTCTTAAATATAGGAGATGTTATGATATTTTTATAATAATTAGACATTTTTGTCTGTATCTTAAAAAGAGAATGTAAGATTAATTGTATGCTTTATCACTTTCCATCATAATATTAATTGTGATATTATTATAAGTGAAATTGAAAACTTATGGTGATTTCATGACTTTCAATCAAATAATAAATTTTTATTAATATGTGAGATTAAATTAAAAATATTTTATATATAAAAATAAAAGGAGTACTCATTCGATCCTTGTTGCCTTCACACATTTTAAAAAAATTAATTTTTTTTCTTGACATCATAAAAAACTTAGACATATTTTGATTTTTAAATCTGATACAATTATATTATATGAAAAGTAAGAGCAAAGGGTGTGATAAATTTGTCATTTGCTAGAAGAGAAGGCCATCGTGACAGACAATTGACAAATTGACAATATAATTCGGAATCATTGGAACGTAGCTACAGACACAATTAATTTGAGCGGATGCCGATGGTGTGGCCATTCAATAATTAATTGGTGTCGTCTTCAAAAATAGCCACCTCCCATGTCCATTCCCACCCATTTTTTTGTCGTCAAACCTCATGTTTTGAAATTCGAATCTCGCCAAATCGAAAGCAGGCCTTTTTCATCTCTCTCTCTCTCTCTCTCTCTCTCTCTGTGTGTATTATGCTTCTGTCTTCGGCCGAAACAGAAAAAGACATACCTTTGTCCCTTAACAATTACCTTATTTGGTCTAAAAATATTTACTGTTACCTTCTCCCAACTCCTAGTCTACTTCATTCTCTGTCAACGCTAGCATAAGTATTATTTGGGTCTTCTCTTCTTCAATTTAACCTAAAATATGAGTCATTTTTTAGTATTTTACAAGTGCTTTTTTGAAAAGTGTTTATCATAAATAAATTTTTATATTTATTTTAAAGTGAAATGCCTTATTAAATAATAATAAATATAGAAAGATACTATTAATTTAAAAATGAATAATTATTTTATTAGGGAATGTGAAATTTAATTAAAAATATTTTACAATATTTTTTAACAAAAAGAGTATTAAAATAAAATAATCAATATATAAAAAACCTAAAACACTTATAGACAAAATAAAAGAAAACCAGCAAAACATTAGGACATAAACCAACATCAAGACATGACCAACATTATTATGAAGAAGCTGTCAATAACAAGCTTGCCTCATAAAATTTTTATGTAGTCACTTGCGATTCTGAGCAGCAAGAAAATGCGCCACAAAAAACATTAATACCTCCATGGGCATTGGCAATTCTAATTCTTACATTTTGCATTACTTTTCGTCATTGGTATTGCATATAATTAGGAGATGAGTCTCGTGACTCGAGATTCATGAAACGTCCACATTCAAACTTGCTTTTTAATTGGAAGGAAAAAAACAAGAAATTATTCATGCGTATAAAAGTTTTAGACACAAATATGTTAATAGATCGAATATATATAGTCCAACATAATTGAGGTGGGAAAAGGATATGTGGTGCAGGGAAGAAATATAAAAAATGGGGAAAGCAAAAGGGAAACGACATTTTTGTTGACCGACCGACGATATCACTTAGGCAATGGGTGGGGAACAGGAAGAAAAAAGACGATGGAAAAGCATTGAGAGTACCGCAAAACGTGGGTTTCGTCTTTTTAAGTATGAATAAAGTGGATTTAAATTTTATGAGATTAAATTAAATCGTTTGGCGATTAAAGTAAACTCAATTATGTTTATAATAATAATAATGCAAAAAGCAGGCAGCACAGCCCCTACATATAGTTGTTGGATAACGTTGGCGTTTTGTAATTTGTATCAAATGAGATTGAGAATCTATATACAAATTGATAAGCAATTATTGTCCATTAATTCTCCATGATGTTAATTTTATAGGCGCACCCTTAACACGTTTCATAGTTAATATTTTTTTTATGAAGTGCACAAACATTCTGATGTTCATGGAGGAAATGATTTTAACAATATATTTGATTCCTGATGTCCTTGTAGTGTTTAACTTTAATTGTTGTGACAATATTGGACGTCTATCATGCTGGCTCGTGTTCCATTAATCATTTACGGAATGTTTTAATTTATGCAGCTGGATACTATTCATTACAAAGTTTGGTATAATGATATCTTTTATTATGGTGTAATGAAATGGTCCTCATGTGTCAAACAACTGTTTTTGCCACAAAAACCATTTAAACTTGAATTTATAAAAAAATCATGTTTCATGGTGGGTCCGACGGATTAAAATAAAAGAAACAGAGGGTTAATTTTTTATGATATGTTTTAATTAAAAATTATATACATGTTACATTTTAATATAAAACATCAGTTTAAATTACATCTTGTTTCGGGTGAAAATGTTTGTCAGGTAACAGATTTTTTTTTTTTTTTTGGTTTTGGTAGGATGTCAAGTAAATTGTTTTCGTTCAAACATGAAACAATGAGTTGGGCCCTTCGGTTAACCATACTCACCAGTGGCTTGTCATCTATAATGGATCGCAATGAAGTTTATGGGCCGGAACCCATCGTTACTTAGGCCCATAGAGTTACTTCGCCTTTGGAACTCTATAATCCCACCCTTAAACCGAGGAGGAGGAGGAGGAGAGATAAAGATGAAACCTGGGATGGTAGAGTGGACTGAGAAAAGAAAAAGAGTTTGTCGGAAAAAAGGCTTGAACCGAATGAATCAATCAAATGGTGAAAGTTGCGTTATCTATTAGAAAGGAAAAGTAATATCATACCCACAAAGAATACCAAACCCAGAAATCTATGTCGCCTTGAAGGGCGGAACCAGACTAGGAAAGCTGGGGCCCAATTTTATGGTATATAACTATACATAGACTGAATTATTTAATTGTTTATTAATAATTAAAAATAATTTTATAATAGAATTGAGAAAATTTATAACATAACAAATCATTTATATAAAACTTAAAAAAATCAAGAAAAAAGCTTTGCAAAGTATATAAAAAACTCAGCTATAAAAACCAATAGAAATTAATAATTTATTTATATTTTTATCTACTATTATTTTATAGAGATATTTTTATAATTTTATTTATAAATCATTTTCAATATGTTTCATTTGGACTAAGAAAACTGTAAAAACCCATTAATTTAGCTTTAAAAATTTAATAATTTTTTTAATTTTGCTTCTATTAAATGCACATACTTTAATAATATATTTTATTTCTTCAACATTTAATAAAAATAAAAAAATATAATAAAAATTTAATAATGTTACTTATAAACTGAACAAAACAAAACTTATTTGTCTACCTATAAGTGAAAAGGCTACACATAAGAACTAGGGAGCAAGGACTTGCATAAAGACTAGAGAGTAAGAAATGCATAGTAAAAATAGGATAAAAGTGAAAGTTAAAAGATTAAGGGGCCAGAGGATTAATTTTTTTCCTCACAAAAAACCACCTCATAACATGATAAAAAATTAATGGCCCCCCTTAAACACTACTTGGGTCCGCCCCTGGTCGCCATTATTGTTTTTCAGGAGTTTAGTGATCCTTAAACTCCTTGTCCACGTGTCTAGCAGGTCAGAAGATAACACAACACCATCTTTCTCTGAGCTTTCCTAACAACCCAAATTTCTGGTAATTAATGACTTCTGCAGAACTTGCCTACCCAGAAAGTAGACGAAGAACTAATGCATGGTCAACACGCACACGCAAGGGGAAGGCACCAAACCAATCAATTGAGCAATAACAGACCGTCGCTTTTCTGCTTTAATTCATTTTCTTTTCCGAACTTTCGAGAGTGATTCCTCGTCGATTTCATAGGGGCTACAAATCTTTAATTCAAATGCATTCTCTGAATGTGGATCAAAGGTCCCATTCATGAATTCTTCTCGTCACATGACCCTACTTTTTGGAATTTGTCGGAGTTTCCCATGAGTTTCTGTTTATATGAGCAGATGAAATCTCAAATCTCAATGTAGTAGAGATTTATTACTACTACTATATACAGGCTTTCTCAATTGCAGGCACCTAATATTCTTGGTTTCAGCTTTCATTATTAAAGCGGAGACGACACGTGCAACTCAACATCGTAATTAATAATGAAATACACACAAAGGGTTGTGATCCGTGAATAGTAACTATTTGTGACAAAATAATTATTGGTAATTAAACGCAGAAAGAGAAAAAAGGAAGCAACTTACAAACCATCAAGAGACATCACCGTGCGAAATTCACCTGGCCGTCTTTCCCATGAAGAAAAAGAGGGATTATTAAAAAGGTGAGGGATGGTTTTGAGCCACCACGAAGGTGTCCCCCCCCCCCCCCTTTCCTTTTTTTCATAAACTGTGTCGTGGGCAGCGTGAAACATGATTGAAGCATGGTGCCAAGTTATAGCAATGCCTTTGGTGGAGCATGATCATAATCATATAGAAAAACTATATAAAAGCGTGGGAAGCTTTTTTCTTCGAAGGAAATAATATTGTAGCAACCTTGAATTGGAAAATTCAATGCCTTGGCAGAGTCCGCCAGAGGAGAAAAAACGTCTCGCAAATAATCAATCAGACTTTCTTTAGATCTAGATTCATTTCATTCTGTACTCAGATCCAAGTGAATAAGAATTATGCATCGGATATGAGTATTCCTTTCTTTTTCTTTTTTCTTTTGATAAGGATATGAGTATTTTTAATCTTTCTTAACGTTGAGACAAAAGGCCTTTGGGAATTATTGTGTAACCACTGAAACACTATCATATGTTTAACCAATTAACCACTTGGTGCGTGTGCGTGACTGATATTTTTAAGTCTAAACATCTTAACTCGTACTTTATTTTATGTATATTAAAATAGCATCTATCTAGAATTACGAATTACCAAAAATAAAAAAAATAAAAACTGTAAGAGTTATCGTGCTTCTCGAACTTAGCCAAGTACTTTTATATAATAGAAATAAATAATTGGTGCAATTTTAAAAATGACTGGAAATGAATTGTTTGATCAACAAATATTAAAAAAGATAATTTCAACATAAAATCTAGTTCAAAAAACTGTACCAGCAGCTGCATTATATTATATTTATCCATGTGAGATGTCACATAGAAGCATAAGCTAAAAAAGTAATTTCCATCACATCATGATTAGCAAGGAGTCATTCACGTGTGTGGGTCCTTGGTGACATTTTTGGCTGAACGTTCTTTTCCGACTTTGCTTCCCCCTCCACTAATTAATAATTAAGGTCTTGGTCAAGTCTATGCTTGTAGATGTTTCAATCAAAAGCACAGACAAAGAAATTAAATAGGAAGAAACAGAATGCATGCATGGCGTTCGGCCCCAATAGAAGAAGAAGCCACGTATTGACATCGAATAAGACTCTCTCATATACACCAACGAGATTCCACGGAGATACCCGTCAACCCGCGAATAATTAGCTTCTTCGTCATTCATTATTAATAACATCATTATTCACCATCAACTATCAAGGCAATTAATGCGAAGCTAAGCTTATCACATTGAAAAAGTAAGCAAAACGCGCATGCATGACAAAGCGATTCAAAAGTAGACACTTAAATCTTTACATTAATTTACTTCCAACAACGTGGGGCTTCAAGAAGCACACTACATTTTCTCCTCCTGAGAAAGAAAGGAAACAAGTAGCAAGCTATAACAATAAGCTAACCACCGATATTTTTCTCTCATTTAATATATCGAGCAGATTTCATGCGCTCGCCAATCAGTTCCTACGTTTCAGATCATTTTCTAGCTACTCGGATCGATCGTTCCACAGCTTTATTTTACAATATATAACGGGGGACGTCGACCACGTAATACGTACTTATAATATACCTTTTTGTTACCGTAATGTTAATAATTAATATGGCTCAACGCTTTTTGCGAATTCATGGAGCCTAGAATCAAGTACAGATCAGAAAGTCTGGCCAGGAGGGCCACGGATTCGGTTCTCAGGCGTTCATTCTCTAACCATACTAGACGGAGTTGATGCATGGCGAGACCTAGCCGGTTTTTGAGCTGTTGGTTTTCAATTGAGAAGCTGTTCGCTTGAGTGTTCAGGTTCTCTAAATGTCTCTTCCTTCTCCAGCGAGACCGTCGGGCCGACTCCCGGTTCAACTGCATCCGCCTGCGCTTTCTCTCGTCATTGGAGTAAACCTCCCGGCTCGAGCCTTGTGAACCGGAGCTCGGGCTGGTCTCATCTTCTTCATTTCCTGACTGCATAAGCGACAACAGCTCCTGTATATCTGCAGGTGTGAGCCCCGTTTCCAGAACCGTACATGGCAACTGGACCGCTTCTTCTTCGTGGACGACCATGGTTTGCAGAAGAACTACTATATTCAAAGAGTGAACCAGAGAGAGGAAAGAAAGGGAAAAGGGAAGAACCAGATGAGCAGAGTTGGGTATTTAAGATGAGGAGGACTGGAGACCCGTGGGGTCCATGGAAGCAAAAGTTTTCGGAAAGCCAGAGTTCATTTGTCCCAGAAGAAATTAAAATTAAAAAAAAATAGAAAAAGGAACTGATCAAGTTTCAGGTGTACGTATGGGTGTCATTGTTTTGGCAAAAACAAATGCTGCAGATCAACAATTGCATGAAACTTTAATGTCAGGTGGCATGGAGGTGGTGGTGGGGGAAATCAAATGTAGTTGAAGCCTTTTTATTTTATGGTAGTATTTCGCTTTTTTTTTTATCAATTAGGAGCAAGAGATCATGGATTCCTTGGGAAGATTAGCTTTAACTTAATGACGAAGAATCTAACAGAAACGAATAAACTACAAATGGGATTAGAAAGTTACTGGAACCGGACACTGTGTATGTCCCCGAGCCATTTTGGATACGCACATAAAAGGTGAAAAAAGCAGCGTATTAAAGTTGTCACCCACACATGTTAAAGGGAAAAAAATTATATATATTTGCCAAGGTAAAGGTGGGCCAGCTAATGAGCGTCTAGTTGGCGGAAAATCGTCCCTCTGTTGCTATTAATTCTTTTCATTCATTTCACTTCACGGCCTCATCATTCATGAAGGCTTCCGTCACTTGTCAAGGTTTTAAAAAAAACTTCGCTAAAAATGGGGCTAATTGTTGAGGTTTTCTTGACACGCTTCCACGAGCTATTTATTTTTCGTATATTCGTTTTAGCTCAAACACGATGTTTTTTCTCATTTTGTATTCTGGTGAACTTGATAAAATTTGGGAATTGCGTGCATGCTTGTTGCAAAGATTTCCAAATTAGATCGTTCAACATGCGCTCGTTAATTTCTTGAGTATGGAGATGCACAAGAGAGAAAATGCAGGGATGACGGAAATAATGTAATAAGATTTGGATTCAATAATTGTATTTAATGCAAATATTCAGTGCCTATATTATCTTAATCTAAATCAACGATTCAGATAAATTTATTTATTTATTAATCTTAAGTGAAATATAAATTCATAATTATTGATTTAAATTTTAATGATTTAGATAGTACAGGCATACCATATTAAGTAAAGTCACCAAATTTAAATTCTAATATAATATGCTTTTAAGCTTTCATATATTGTACATTGCTAGTCATTTTTTCCCTTTTCGTACATTCTAGAGGAAGTCGCGTAAATTTTTTTCTTTTTTTCAGAAAATGCGTTACATTTTTCTTACAAGCTAAGGGAAAGGCTTGAAATGATGCTTTACTTCCATATACACTAACCCGATACTGAACTTTCCATATAGATGGTGGATAGATATATTATGCCCCTTCAAATTAATAAGATAACATAAAAGGAACGTATAAAAAATCAAGAGTGACTAATTCAAAGTTTGTGGAGATGAAAATGGTAAAGCGAGAGAGACGTTTGGCTGTGCGCATTGCACATATTCGCGACGTCCCTTGCCTTAACTATGTACTTATATATATGCCCACATCAAGTATATGCTTATAGAATATAACTGCTGAGAAGTGAGTTGCTTTTGTTACAAGCTTTATAATCCACAATGTGAACAGAATCAACAGATACATAGACATGGCATAGACAAATAAAAACTAAGGATCAGAATATTCTTGGTCTTGGGGGTAGTTTTCTTAGTTAAGCATTCTTGGAGGGCAGTTTGTTGGGCTGGACCTACATTATAGTAGCAAGGATAAAAAGCAAATGTGAGTGGAGGATAACATGCAATCCTTCTATTGCCATTTTGGTTATTACTTTGATCAGTGTGCCAAAGTAGCTTGCATGTGCTGCCTCCAAATTTTCAAAGGAATAAAGAAGCATATAACTGCCAAGAAAGATTTGTTATTCAATTGATAAAAATTGGCGTAATATCTCTTTGGCTTGAATCATCCTGTTGAATATGTAAGAATCTTATTCCTGGGCAGTTCGTCAGTATTTTTAATGTGTTTTTTTTATTATTATAAAGATGGTTCTGATCACTGTGGCCATCGTTTCTCAAAATTCAAGTTATATACATTAGATTCTTTTTAGAGCGTGTTAACTCTTTTGCTTTCACTTCCCAGCTCTCTTAAGAAGGCGTTAAACTTACTGATTACTATTATTATTATTATTATTAGCATTATTATTTGATGAACAAAAGGGGGCAAAAAGCTCAAACTAAAAAAAAATAGCTAAAAAACTTACTGATTAGTTACCTCCACATCTCGAACATGTCATTCGAATCCATCTCCATGTTAGGCTATAAAGGGTTATAGTGATTACTGTAATTAATTTAACTTACAGTAAGTTTAAAAGGGTCTTGGAATAGATATATATTGCCGTGCGCCGGCGCCATGATGTTTCAAACAAAGAAAACTTTTTTTTACCTTAAAAAACATCAATGAACCAGTAAGACTGAAGAGGGATTGGGCCGTCGAACTAATTAAAGGAAAAGTTTGCGTCTAATCAATAGAATTAATGCGTGGTTTGAATACGTTTGTCTCTTTTGTTTTTTGGGTCTTGAATACGTTGCCAAGAATTTCCACTCTCCCAACAAGTCCCAATTCTTCGTCTTTCCTTTTTAACCAGGCACATCTAATCTATCTAATCAGATAAAATTAATTAATTATTAAATTTAAATATTAAGCCGATTTGGTTGGAGGTCATGTCATATCGTGGTATAGTGGGATAAGGCTTACAGTTATGTGCACCTGATCGATAATTAATAAATAAAGGGAATGATGCGGATGATGAAAAAGCAAGTGTCATGAGGAAAGTTGGAACGTCGCTACTCGCTATAGACCTGTAAGTATCTTTTGAGGAAAATTAAAATATGATGAAAGTAATTGAGAGCTTGTATATGTAGATCGATATGTCATGTATATATAGAATTGGTTTCGCAATTGTCCGCCATCTAAATAGGCATAAACCTAACGAGAATTAAGGATCGTCTCGCGCCATTAATCATACGCACTATTGTCTATATATATGCTGATGATGATGATAGGATCTGCATCTGCTCCAAGGATTCTCATCCGATCCACACGATATATATTTTGTTTAGCTCTTGATAAAATATATGACCACAAAGGAGGGATTAAATTTTAAACCTTCAATGGATATATACATATATATATATATATATATATATTAATTGATTAAATTATAATTAATGCATATATATCGGTCATGCATAGTACATCTTTTCAAGCTAGGATCGATCCCTCTAACTAATTTGCCAAAGACAAATCTGACAAAGTACAATTAGACTTAAAATTATCTGCCAGACCCAACTACAATATGGAGGACCCAAATGTTTATATGAAGAAGTAAATGAGAATCCTAGGATAAATTACTAAATCCTGCAACCAAATAATCACTCGTCAAGCAAAAAGAGAAACAAGAGCAGCACCAAACGATAAGCCTTGGCGTGTGTAAAGTTTGATGCACGCAGCAAAAGGTCATCATTAAATTAATATTCCAGATTCTCAACAAAGTCGTTGTAGTATAGTGGTGAGTATTCCCGCCTGTCACGCGGGTGACCCGGGTTCGATCCCCGGCAACGGCGTTTTGCTCTGATATATGGATCGACCCTAAAAACGTGGGGTAAATCAACTTTTGCAAAGAAAGCACAATTTTATGTCCAGTATGTATTTGGATTCCTAAATCCTTGTTGATGATGTCGAGCTAAGTACGTTGAGATTCCAAACGACACCATCATTCGGTTTCAATTCGTCCAACCCGTTTATTATCTGTCGCCAATGAACACAGTATAACAATTTATGAGGGGCCAAACAAAAACATATGGACAAGTCATGTGCAAGTATTTTTTTGCCTTGTATAAGTTATATATCATTTATTCAGACGTGAACAACAAAACTTGTTATTAAAGGCAAAATTTTCCTAACAACCCAAAAATTCATGGCATGGTGGGGAAAAGAAGATGAAGTCACATGTACACTATTTTTGTTTTGAACTATATTCAACCTGTTTGATGTTATGCCAGATTAATTGATGGTACTAGATAAACAAGCTTCATAACCTCAATGGTAAGTTTGGATTTAATTTGGATCAAATCTCTCATTTAAATATGTATTTAAATCCAAATTCACCTCGTATTATAATCTTTTATGATTTTAAATTATCCTTACACATTAATTATTTACAATTTTAATCATTTCAAACATTTCATTTTCTTAGTGTCTTTTTTTTCCCTGCTATTCTGTTAGTGTATTACTATGGATATCTTTACAATTTTTATATCTTTTTCATATCTTATCACTCTTCTTCATTTAAAATTTTTTAAAATATCCAAATAATAAATTTTAAATACATGAATTTAAAATGTGAAATTTTAAATTTAAAATACAAATTTAAATCCACTGATTCAAACGTTAACTAAAATTATTCGGGATTAAATCCTCAAATATCATGCTACAGCTGTAATTTTCCTTTAATTACAATCACTTCTCAAAAAAAAAAAAATCTCATCATGTTGCGATTCACTCCATCTAATTGAGCTTGGTCGAAAACTTAAAGCCTGATTGATACCCATTTGCTTGCTTTAATATAGTCATGGCCAGATCAAACTATACTCAGAATTCGCTGATATTGATGAGATAAAGGTCGTGACTCTTGAGCTTTAAATATACAGACAAACTAAGCACTGCCCATCTTAAAAAGAATTATAAATTCTACGGTCAAAAAAGAAAGAAAGAAAGATGAGGCTTTAGAAATTAAAAATGAGGTGATAGGGAAGAGATACATTGAACTAAGAGCCTGTTAGGTCAAAATTAATTTTTTAAAAATTTTTAAAAAAACTCGTTTGAATAAGTATGTTAAAGGATTAAAAAGTAAAAATGTCTTAGAATTTTTTTGCAAGAAATGTTTAGTATTTTAAACTTTCATTTGGAGCAATGTTTTTGAAATCTTTTGAAAGTAATGTAATT